TAAGTATGTTGTAAATGGCAAATACATGTACACACCATTTTTCTCATCTTCACCGCGTGCAAAAGCTTTGCTGCTAGACCGGAGTAGTCGTAATGTCCCACTTTCAGCCTTGTGGAAACGTTTCAGTTCCGGTCGAGCAGCAGATCCTACATCCTTTCCATCTAAATAATTTGTTTCAAATGTCTTCAAGGTTGCTTCGCACACATCGGCCATTCCCACCAACAGGTGTAACCCACAAAAAAAATTGTTTATTCTTCCACAATGAACTTTGTTCTCTTCTGAAAGATATGCATAATTATCAATTATTTTGGGTAAAATTTCTTCTTTATAGTCCTGAAGCAATGTGTTGAAGGCTTTCTCAGTACTAGCCCTGTCAGACATAGTATTTCTTATATTAGAAAGTAATTCATATCCTGCACTAAAATTCTTTTTATCTGACATTTCTTTACAGTGATCTGAGATGTCCATTAAGATTTTTGAAAACATCTAAGGTACACTGAGAGCTTTTATTTACCATTTCCCTGAGACCTAACAAATAGGAATTTTGACTTTTGTCTGTAACGATATATGTCTGGTATGTGTGTCCGTGTTTTCTGGTCTCATCTGTATAAAGGGTAGTTTCACTTTCTTTTGCAACTATTTTCGAGACATGTTTTTGTGCCATTGCTACTTTCCTATCAACAATGTTGTCAACGGTTTGACATGACGGTAATTGCTTTATACTCTTTCCAAGAAGATGGGCAACCTCCTGTATTACTGCCCCAACACTTTTGCTTGCTACTTTGTAGTTTGTTTGATTCATGACACATTCAGTTAGTTCATTTGAATATACTGACATTGATGGAATTGTCAAAGTTATTTCTTCATTGTCATTTAGCAAAGTTTGTAAATAATCCACGCTAACTTTTAGCTCTTGGTTTTCTTCTCTTAAAAGATTGTTCCCTTTTTCCAGGAGAATTGATTCGTTTGTTGTTTCTTCCACAATTTTGCTCACATCATCCAGGTTTTTTCTGACAATTTTCGCATAATTGTTTAACTGCCTTAAATTTAAAATGTCTTGGCTATGTTGTTGTCTGTGTTTTTTGAGAGTCTCATCCTTTTTGTTTTATTAATTCTTCTGATTTTTTAACTTTTTTCCCCACAGATTCTATCACTTTTTCAAGTTTTAATGTGTTTGATGACATTTTTCTTTCTAAAGAAGCCTATCTCTTTTGTAATTTTCTTTAAGACCTCTATTAGTTTCCTTCACATGTAATAAAATATACATAGGTGAAACTAAACGGCCATTAGACATCCGCCTCAATAAGCACCAGTCCAAAGGCACCACCAATGACTCAGCTGTATCAGAACACCTCAAAAATAACCCACGCCACAGAGTGAACTGGTCAGCTGTAAATACCCTTAATACCAATATCAACCAAAAGAAAACCCGTAGATTAATGGAGGCCGTTCAAATAAAAAGACATCAACCAGTACTAAATAGAGATAATGGTATATATATCCCCAGAGCCTATGATCAATTAATCACAAATAGACCTAAACCAGGAAATTAATATAGACATTACCCCCATATCCATGGTACTATTTACTTCACACGGAGTATTACTTATTTAAGGAAATTAGTTCAATGCAACACACAGTATTACATTTAATATGTAGCACACAATTATTATTGATGATAACACCTTTTGAGGTAGTGCACTCATAACATTATATAGGACATTTATTAAGCAGTTTCTGTAACTTGTTAACATATAAAAATATTTGTATACAGTGGTACGGCTAGGTATTATAATCACACAAGAGTCAATCAATGTCCATATCACACATCTAGGGTTATAATCCCATATTAATTAAGTGGTTTCCATCTATGTGTACATTACGATTAGAGGTTTATATTTCTGCATATGGTTTCATTATAAGATCAAAGGTCACTGTCCTCCTAATTTATGGTTTCATTGAATGTTTTGATTGTACATAGTATATATATTTCACTCCTTCTGTCTGTATCAGTATTGTGCTTGATAACGACAAGAGAATCATTGTTGAAACGTAGCTTTAATTAAATATAGTAATTGTTATCCATAGAACTGTTGTGTTTATTTTATAGTATGTTTAAATTATACAACCCGGGCCATTGGCAATATTATCATTATTCCAAATATATCCATATGTCGCAATAGATCCCACAACGTAGCTCTAATCAATGTTTGTTAATGTCGTGATTTTAAGTTAAAAGAGGGTGACGGCTGTCCTAAGTTAAAATTGAATTTAGTTAAAATTGTCCCTAAAATAGCTTTGTGAAACGCCACTATTTTATAAGTTAAGATAGAATTTTAACTTACAATATTATTTTAGTGGATTTTATCTAAAATGCTTAAAATCGTTTTGTGAAACGCATCTATCTTCAGTTAGGATGGAATTTTAGTTTAAGACGATTTTAAGGAGATTTAAGTTTTTGTTAAACAGGGCCCTGGTATATCAAGGTTGTGGACCCTTTAGAACTCACAATTTTTATCCGATTTTGATGCTTGGTTGCTTTCAATATTTGCGCATATCGGATCGTAACTTCCTGAATTATGGCCCCTGATTGTATGAAAAATCCTGTTTTTAGCTTAAAAACGTTAAAATATATCACATTTACACCGTAGTGTTTGTTGAGTTCGAATTTCGTGAAAATTAGACGAAACTGCCAGACAAAATGCATGTTTATAACCCAAAGATCTTTGTTCCTGTACCTTCTTTGATGTTACGAAAAATCGCTTTTTGTTTAGCTTGTTCTCTATCTCTTGAAAAATATGGGCGTATCCTGTTATAATTGTTAAAGCCTAAATGTCGTTCATATGAAATGAAATAATTGCAATCAACACACGACCACCATTGTCGATGATTGACAATTCAAGTTTTTCTTCATCCACCAAAGAACCATAAGGTTTCTTTAAACATACTACAATAACATCAGGATTATCGGTTAATCAGCTTTAATTATCCCGCTTCGATCGTTCCCATTTCTAATATTTTCCGGAAAGACTTTTCTTTGCTTTTCTTTGTATGCTCTTATTTATCGATTGGCACTGTTATCTACGGCAAGCTAGCCAATGAATGCATACGTCAACGTGCAGCTTACGGATTTTCGTTAAAAATTTCATGGGACTTTTATAAACAATGCATGTCATGTAAATATTTACTTTTGTTTTTGTGTGGGTCATTTTGAAATAAATTCAACTGCACATTATTCTTTTTTAAAAAATATATTACTTTTACAGGATACGATGATAAAGAAACGTAAGTGCAACTAATGGTTTGTCATTTAGTGGAGCCTTTTAATAACCACGTGTTTCATGTTAATATTTTCTTTCGTGTCTTGAATTGAACAATTTCATCAGTTACTTTTTACTTTTTTATAAACATATTACAGATATAAAAAAAACTAGATCTGCATAGCAGATATCAAAGCTTTCATATAAACTGCAAAAGGGGTTATTAGAATCTATGAATCAACAATCACTTTGACGGAAGATATTCTCTCGGCTAAAAAATCTACGAGAGATACGTAGAATTAAACCGGCCCAGAGCCGATCGTGTTGATAAAAAGCCGCTTATTTGACATTGACACATAACCGAAGGTGAATAGGCCTACCCGTCCAGTTAATACAATGGGCAATCTCACATCTCTAAGTCACGACCAATTGTGTATGTTTTCAAGCCCATTAATGTGGATTTTTCACTATTTTTCATTTTCAATTCAAAATGGCGTCCATCAGTTGACCTAAATCAAAATTCTACCGCCTACATTTTATGGGCATTCCTTCAAGGATTTGGAAAATATAATCCCCTTGTCTGTAAGTAAAATATCAAAAAAGCCTTAGCGATATTTCACATTTCAAGATGGTGGCACTTCCGGTTTGGGCTACAAACTCCATTTTTTGTGTACGAATCAGTAGTGTCGTAACTAGTAAAGAAATACAATTTAAAGGCAATCGGACCTATATTTCATCGATTTTTTTTAAAACTTTGATCCTTAATTGCATCAAGGGGAGATAATACAGAAAATTTCTAATGACATTTTTCAAGTTGTATCGGTAAGATCTACTTACATACTGAATTTCATGAAAATCGTGCAACTATTAAAGAAGTTGTCAAGTTGATTTTAACTTCCGGTTCGAACTCACAGCGACGAATTTTTGAAATTCGAAAATCCGAAATAGCAGGTTTAAAGTAAATGATTCAAGGTACTCAAGGAATTTTTTTAGTAAAATAGGTCAAAAAGTCACAAAGTTACAGCAATGTAGGTCAAATGCATTCGTTCGTAAAATTCGGTGATTTCGGATGTGTAAAACGTTTTGAAAACATACCTATTCCAAAGCCACCACCCATTCTCGGGGGGGGGGTAGGTCAAAGTTTCAGAAAGATCCCACGGTTAGATTCAGGGATATAAGATTTGCAGGAAAAACATAAAAAAAAAAATAATAGTAATAATAATCTTAACAGAAACAATAAGCTTTCATATGTAATACATATGAAAGCTTAAAAAACATTCTTTTCATAAACATTCAACATTGGAAATTTTGCCGTTCCTTCAGAGGTCTATACGGTGCGGATCCACGACTCCACATGCTGTACTTGATGTCTAGCGGTAAATTTTTAGCCAGTCCCAGAATGCTTTCGAGCGCCATTTGTAATGAACTTAAATGAAGCGACTCGATGAACGAAGCTAAACATATTCCACAAGAGAATAATACCGGTGTAGACTAGAATAACCAGACGCCAAAGACTGCCATTCAATTTGGACTCTTCGCTGAACATAAATGATTAGAATTAGAAATTGCAGTAAAAACAGAAACGATTGAATGTAAATCAGTTTATATACATTCATATTACATTAATATATATGCGATGCGACCCATTTGTGTCCATTTCTAGTTGCCAAAGAATAGAGATTTAGCTCCTTTAACCAAAAAGATATTATACTATAGGATTACTATTATTTCATATTGTAGGTTGTGTCATTTTTTGTGAATCGAATTGAGGTGATAGTCTTGTCCTGGAATTGGAAATTTGGTAGAGCTGCTGAGAGTAGTACATTATCATCATCATGCCACCAAACAACACTCTCGCAGTATGGGGTAATGAGAAGACCATGAATCTGAATAATTTGATTTTAACCAACATTCAGTCATCTCCATATTTTAAGATCAATTTGTTTAATTTAAAGACATATCATGAAGTGATAGATGAAATATATTACAAGGTAGGTATGTGAAAGCTTTGAAATATCTTAGTCTTGCATCAACATTGAGAATAAAGGTCAAATGATCTTTGAACCTTCAAGTATTTGATGAAAATTATTTAGTAAAGTGCAGCTGATCAGATGTGATTCACATGAGAATGAAATCCAATGCATTTAATAAGCTTAAACATACATTATGCAAGAGCTAAATCTGCCAATGGCAGGTCTTTCGTTAGGCCTGAAATGTTATCTAAATTATTAGACATTAATTAACTTATCCAGACGTTAATCAACTCTCGATGGAATCGCTAGCCTGCAATATTTACTGGATTATGATCCCATTTGCTGCTCGACTTCCATTCATAATTTAATCATGAAATGGATGATCAAGACTATGTTTTTTATCGTACAGACTTTAGTTATGATGATCGAAGCTTGGCCAAAATTTCAATCGCTTAATTCCCTGTTCATAGTGGATCAATGTTACTGAAATTTTCAGTGTAAAAATATGTTATATCAGGTTGTGGACCCTCTAGAGCTCAGCATTTTGATCAGATTTTAATGAAACTTGAAAATACATGTTTATAACCCAAAGATCTTGGTTCCTTTCGATATTTGCGCATATCGGATTGTAACTTCCTGAATTATGGCCCTTGATTGTACGAAAAAATCACGTTTTTTGGTTGTGGTCCTTCTAAAGGTCACAATTATGATCCGATACAAAAAAACGTGTAAATATATCACCGTTACAACATCGTAATGATGGTTGAATTCAAATTTCTTGAAAATCAGACCAAAACTGACGGTCAAAATGTCCGCCCCGCGTATAACGCTAATGGTGTAAATATGTGGTATACATGTGGTATCAATGTTGTAGACCCTCTAGAGGCCACAATTTTTTTCCGATTTTGATGCAACCTTAAATTTATGCTTATATCACAAAGGTCTTGGTTCCTTTTGATATTCGCACATATTGGATCGTAACTTCCTGAATTAAGGCCCTTGATCGTATGAAAAATTGCTAATAGTAGAGTAAAAAATATTGTATAACAAAGTTGTGGACTCTCTAGAGGTCACAATTTTCACCCGATTTTGATGAAACTTGAAATGCATGTTTATAACCCAAAGATCTTGGTTCCTGTCGATATTCGAACATATCTGATCGTACCTTTCTGAATTATGGCCCTTGATGTTACGCAAAATCGCTTTTTGTTTAGCTTGTTCTCTATCCATCTCTTTGAAAATGTGGTCGTATCCTGCCTGGCAGTCGCTGGTTAATTATCATAGTGAGAACTGCCAGCTCTTTATCTTATCTCCCATGATGTATCTTTAATGTAATGTTGATGATTAATGCAAACTGTAACACTGTGGAATAGTTACGGCCAAGTGACATCTACAATAAGATCTTTTAATCTGATTGATGATATTAGTTTGAGTCCTTGGTAGGTGATTTATTATATGCTTCATTAGGGATGGATTCGATGTTTTTGGTTTTTCCTGGAAAAGTGGATGTGACTTAGCGTTTAAAGCTATTTCGAACTTTCTGTGACAATGCGAAATGTCCGAAATCATTGAAGTTGTCGTTTTTATATGCCCACATTTTCATGTGGACGTATATTGTCGTTGCCCCTGTCTGTCCAGACATCCGTCCGTCCACGATTGTTTGTGGACACTCTACAGGTCACAATTCTTATCCGATTTTGACGAAACTTAAAATATAGGTTTATCTCCAAAAGATCTCGGCTGCTTTCGATATTGGCATGTATCGGAACGAAACTTCATGGATTATGGACCCTGTTTGTACGAAAAATCACGTTTTTAGCTTGTGGACCCTATAGAGGTCACAATTTTTATCCGATTTTGTTGAAACTTGAAATGTAAGTTTATAACCCAAAGATCTCGGTTCCTTTCAATATTTGCGCATATCGGACTGTAACTTCCTGAATTATGGCCCCTGATTGTACGAAAAATCGCATTTTTAGCTTGTGGACCCTATAGAGGTCATAATTTTTATCCGATTTAAAAAAACGTATTATTTTCACCGTTACACCCTAAGGACAGCTGAGTTGAATTTCGTGAAAATCAGCCCAAAATTGACAGACAAAATGGCCACCGTTCGTTCTCAAATAGCGTTAAAATATGGTATATCAAGGTTGTGGACCCTATGGAGGTCACAATTTTTATCCAATTTTGTTGAAACTTGAAATGTAAGTTTATAACACAAAGATCTCGGTTTCTTTCGATATTTGCGCATATCGTATTGTAATTTCCTGAATTATGGCCCTTGATTTTAGGAAAAATCACTTTCTATTTAGCTTGTTCTCTATCCATCTCTCGAAAATGTGGGCATATCCTGCCTGGCAGCCGCTGGTTATCCGATTTTGTTGAAACTTGAAATGTAAGTTTATAACATAAAGATCTCGGTTCCTTTCGATATTTGCGCATATCGAATTGTAATTTCCTGAATTATGGCCCTTGATTGTAGGAAAAATCACTGTCTTTTTAGCTTGTTCTCTATCCATCTCTCAAATATGTGGGCGTATCCTGCCTGGCAGCTGCTGGTTTGAAATATTGCCGTAATATTAACAATAAATCATTGAATTTTAGCATTTGATACATTTTGACATAGCTACGGTTCTTCAGATTTTTGGTTTTTGATGAATCTTCGAAGATATCAGGCGCCAAATTTTAAAAATTTTATTTTTTGCAAAAAAACTTTTTTATTTATGAATATTTTTATATGGCATTTTACCCAGTGTTGAAGATTTGTCTGATTTAACCAAAAATGGCAACATTTTTTGTCACCGTAATTTCCCTTGACCGCCATTGGCCAATTCAGTTTTTCGGTCCTAGAGTAATTATTTTTTATTCGATTTGTATAAAACAAAGTTCATATGCTCCATTTTCCAAATTGTCATTTTTATACGCCCACATTGAAATGAGGTCGTATGTTGTCATCGCCTCCGTCCGTCCGTTCGTCCACAATTGCTAAGGTTAATATCCAATTGACTGTAAATTTATACAAAGTGTTTAAGGTCATGAGACGAAAAAGCCTATTGATTTTCAACGATTTCTGATAATTACTGCCAAAGTTATGGCCCTTGATCACTTTGAAAAATCTTGTGGATGCTTTAGAGGCTAAATTTAATATTCGATTGACTTGAAATTTATACACAGTGTTTAAGATCATGAGACGAAGAAGTCTTAACAATTTTCATCAATATCTGATAATTACTGCTGGAGTTATGGCCCTTGAACACTTTGAAAAGTCTTGACTTTAAATTATTCACAGTGTTTGAGGTCATAAGACGAAGAAGACTATTGATTTTCAACGATTTCCGATAATTACTACCAGTGTTATGGTCCTTGATCACTTTGAAAAATCTTGCGGATGTTGCAGAGACCAAAGTTATCATCTGATTGACTTTAGATTGATACACAGAGATTAACAAGTATATTGATTTTCAATAAATTTTGATAATTTGAACAGTTAAATCCATGATATTAAATGTTTTGTATACTAAATGTTAGCATGGGGCAAAACTAAAAGCCAAACAAATTCTAATGATTTTCTGATAATTACTTAATGAGTTGTTACTCTTCAACAGATTTTAGTGTATTATAGATGTTTCATTACCGACAATAGAAAAAATATGCGACAACTCTTGTTGACTGTTCGGACGACTTAGCTGCTGTGGGTGTATGTTTCGTTGCCTGGCAACCTATCTTTATGTTTGAAATTGTAGGCCTACAGAGGGCTTGACAAGGACAACTGTTGAGTCATTTGGATGGGACGAAAAACCAAGGCCCCATTAAGTCATTTCATTGGTCATATCTGGGATATGTACCACATTCTATGGCCAAAAATGAAGAAAAAACACAATTTTCTGCTGTCTCGGGCATGGCCATCACGGATTGGATACCAATCATCATCAAAGAGACTAGTTTTGCTTGAGTTGGATTTAAGCTGCTACACTTCCTCCCGCGGCGACACGGTGAAAAAACCACTCCGAATTCTCTTAGATTCCGCGGTGAAATTTAGCTTGATTCCGCGGCGATTTTTCTCTAGGAATTCACCGGGTTTCGCTAAGCATACACCAGGAATTTGCGAGCCTACCATAAGCTAGGGTCGAACTAATATTGTCTATAATAAATTGAAGGAGTTGTAATATAGTAATGCTGCCGTGAAAACGTGTACATGCATAATGTACAGGCCGGTTTGAAAAACAACAAAATGAGTTAGGTATTCCCGGGAAAACGTTTACCGGCATTCTGTATCGGTTAGAATTTTTCTCTAACGCACTGTACATGCATTATGTGGGGCCAAAATATATGCAAACTAAGAACAACTTACAATTTTTTAAACGTATCATTTAATCTTCGTCTATAACTTAGATGTAATCCATCAATTATTGTCTGCTATCAAATCCAAACTTTAAATTATATACGATGATCTTTTTCACATTACTCCATTACTCGCAGCTTCAGTTAATCTAAATCAACCATCCATAAAGCACATCGCCATAAATCACTCCGCAGTGCGCTTAACGGTAATTCACTTGGTCAGAAACGCGCCAAAAGATTGGAACTATATTCTTACGCGGTGTTACTCGGCGAAAAGTATTTAGCAAATCTTGACTGTCACCGGTATATGATATTATATAATAATGTATTGTGACGCATTAAAACGATATGGGTGGTAGGCGTACACTGTGAAAGTCACAAAAGTGACATGTATTTGTTATTTTACAAATTGTGTTTACATATAATACTGTATATTTACATGCATTCAACAAAGGAATATTCTTACGGGATTTTGCGCAGCCGTAGAAAAATCGCCGCTGTGACAATATACATCTACTGTTCGCCAATGCATTTCGATGGAAGCTGATGGCGCCCGAAGCCGATATTGAATAAAGCCATTTAACACACACAGACGTGTACATTACATGCGCATGTCATATATTTATACAATGGCCACTAGTGTGTTAATTCTCTCCTTCACTCCGTTATAATTTACG